CCCTGTGTACAGGGGTAACACATCGTACTAAATAAGTAAGGTCATATCTGCGTGGGTTTGATTACAAAAACTAATAAAGTATTCTCTAAATAATGAAAAAAAGAATAAGATAAGACTATAAGAGCGAGAAGCAATTTAAATATGTTCAGGGACCATTTTCATCTCCAGAATTAAGGATTATTTTGATGTTACATCATTGCCTTTTCTCTCTTACTTTCCTTTTTAGTTTTATTTTAGGATTCCCTATTTTTAATGTTCATACAAAGATTTCTTAACTGAAATACGGAATAGTTTCTTTGATGTGAAAAACTATAATAGTACACAGGATCCTAATGAGATAATTAATAACGTGAAATAGGAAGTAATGGGCTAAAGGTGTAGGGAAAGTGGGAAGGGTGGGGGAAAGGTAATAAGGGAGAGGAAAAAATATGAGAAACTGAAAAACTGGAAATAAAGTGTTTGTAAATTGGGAGGGGAAGAGGGGGTGAAGGGAGGGCAAGGACAAGGGGAAAAATGAGAATTAAGACCTATTATGTAAAGGTACAGAATCCCAATGATGAATGTAATTGTATTGTATACCTAGATTGTACCGATAACCTCAATAAAAAGAAAAAAAAATGGTGGTTTCCGGGGACTGGGGAGAGGGAGGACTATGAGTCATTGTTTCATGGGCACAAAGCACCAGGCTTGGGGGACGGAGAGAGCCTGTGGGAGCACCGTGATGGTGGTGGCATCAGTGTGAATGAGCACAGTGTCCCCAGAGTACACGTAAAGGGGGTCAGATGCTCAAGTACATGTCCTGCTTTATCAGGATGAAACAGAAACCCCAATGCAAAGAAACAGCCCAGACTTATAACACGTGAATCTATACATGGATAATTTAGACCCAGAGAGATTTCGCCTTAATTCAAAGCCACCACTAGATAACTAAATCAAGTGACAACTAAGGGCATCATTGCATCCCTGAGGTTGGAGCTCCCATAATCTGATTACTTCTGAAAGGACACAGCCACCAGTACTGTGGCAGAGGGGATTACGTTTCTAACAGAAAGTCATAAGTGTCGCATTCAAAGCAAAACACCAAGTGTCAGTCAATGCAGAGATACCTGGAAAACTACAGAGTGACTGCAAGTGAGCATTTCATGTATTTCACTGTAGAGCTAAGACTATAGAATCGTGCTTTTTGTTTGTTTGTCTGTTTTTGTTTTTTGAGACAGGGTCTCGCTATGTAGTTAAGGCTGACCTTGCACTTACTATGTAGTTCAGGTTGGCCTTGAATTTTGGGTGTTCATCCTGCCTTAGCCTCCCAAGTGCTGGGATTATAGGCATGCACCACCATGCCCATCATGGGACTTATGGTTTTTAAATATGATGTATACATGGGTCAAAGGCCTGGTTTTGTTATTAAGTAAACCAGAGCACTTGCCTGTCACTGATGAGGGGCTGGAATTAAATGCCCAGTATAAGAGAAAAGAAAAGGAAAAGGTAATTATACGGCTAAACTCCACAGTGGGACTTCCAGGAAGATGGCAGAGTGGTGAGCAGCAGAAAAAGAGCCTCTCCAAGATTTGGTGTCCAGACATCGGAATATAGCAATGTGAGGAAGAGAAGCAAAATGGGATCCTAGGATGTAGGAAAGATCTAAAGCAAGAATGAAGCCCATGGGTCTCTATAATGCAGAAAAACCACAGGCCTCCCTAACCTGGTCAGAAATAATCCCATTGGCACTCAGCAAAAGCAAGTTTCCTAAGGATAACATGCTGTAGGAGCCTCCATATGCGTACATTCCCTCATTTGCAGATGCTCCTTACACTGTAGAGACCCATACTGGCAGTGTCAGCCTGAAGCGAGGATGCCCAGCAAGGACAGCTCCTGCCCCTATCAGGCTTTTCCTCTGCCATGTGGGGGAGGGAATCTCCGATGGAAAGAACAAAACACCGTGTTTTCCTGCCCCTTTTCCCATCCACGTCTCCTCAGTGCAGATTACGAGGTGAAGGTTAGACTGTGGGATTGAGGCCTACGCATAATTAGTGCTCCACAGATGTGGCTCGTTTGTGCTGAGTGCAGCCCCACAATCTACAGAGAAGGTCGGAAGGAAATTATGGACAGGAGCCCGAGTGAGGGCCACATGAGCCTGCCTTTCCTGTGAATGGCACTCCCCGGAGCCTTCAGTGACCCCATCACACTTGGCAAAGCTACTCACCAAAGAAGATCCTAGAAAAGCTTCAGAAACTGGCAAGGAACATGAGCTAAGTGTACTCGAAGCAGAAGGGAGCAGTTTGAGAGTTTATGGCAATGTGTTTTTCTATAATACATTTTTTATTTTGAATTTCATTAAATATTTTGATCATACTGTGTAGTTGCACATATAGGCATTTTATTTTACTATAATTACAGGTCCACTTTGAATTCTTCACCCTCTGGAAAAGTCCTAGTCCACAATTCCACTGTCCAGACACCATAGGCAGTCACCTTGGTGCCATGGTCTGTCCCCAGCCTACTAGACTGCTTCTCTCTCTTT